CTTATGCTCTAATAAATTGGTTAGTCTCTAAGGTGCCACAAGTACTCCTGTTCTTTTTTCTGGATGCTGAGTGTATTTTGGGGGGGGTAACCCCCTATTTAAGACAGTGGTGACCCCACACTCGCAGTGCCCCCCCCCTACCCTCCAATGCCCAGCTGGGGAACAGGCTGCCTGCCCCAGGTGTCCAAAAACCATGAGTCAGCTCCCCCCCCAAATCATGGGACAGGCCTAAAATCATGGGATCAGGGTTAGAAATCCTGGGATTGGATTTAAAAATCATGGGATTAGGTATAGAAATGATGGGATATGGATTAGAAATCATGGGATTGGGTTCAATAGTAATGAGATTTTCTTTTAAATTAACAGCATTGTGTTTAAAAATCATGGGTTTTTTTTGTAAACAAGGATAGGGTGATCAGACAGCAAGTGTGAAAAATTGGGACAGTGTGTGTGTGTGTGAGGGGGGGGGGTAATAGGAGCCTATATAAGAAAAAGCCCCAAATTTCAGGAATATCCCTATAAAATCAGGACATCTGGTTACCCTAAACAAAGATAACATTTACAATTCTTTTTAATTAATTTTTTTTTAGACTTTAGAGGTGGTCACTTTTCCAACTTTTCTCATCCAACAGCAGCATCCAACAGTTTACTCTGTAAACTCCCTTTACAAAGTAAGAAAGCTGGGAGTCTCACATAATCAATTATAATAATCTCTAGCTTTTATCCAGTGCTTTTCATCTCTGTTGATCCCAATGTGCTTTAAAAACAAGGTCAGTATAACTATCTGCATTTTAGAGATGGGGAACCTGAGGCACAGCATGAAGTGATTGCTCAAGGTCTCTCAGCAAGCCAGAAGCAGAGCCAGGAATAATCACCTAACACTAGGAGCTGGGGCTTTAAGAGAAACATCCAATGTCCAAGACTTGCAATAAAATGATTAAATCCGGCAACACTGAAATGCTAAAAAACATTAACCACCACCCGCACCAAAAAAAAAAGATTTTGTATCCTTCTGTGATTGGAGTTAAAAGTGGGGTGGAGGAGTCACCTCAAGGGCAGAACTTTTTGTTAATGAGTAGCTAATTCAAAAGGCTCTAAAATCTGCAGGCATACTCAGACTATCTTGAAAATTACTCTGTTTCGTTAAGCCTGGGGGAAGAATTAGTGGTCCATGTTTAGCATCATATGGCCAACGGTTCACAAGACTGCCCCGCACAAAATTAGCTTCTTTTAATCTTCAAAATGCACTGAAATCCACATACACAGTGAGATCCTCTTGATTCCTGGTAGACCACCGACAGGAGCTGGAGTAGGAGTTGTGCTGCGAATTTGGAGTAATTTGGTCAAGGAGTTCTAGAGACAGAACCCCCCCCAATCCATGCATGTTGGTAATCTGCCTTAAAAGTAGTGCACCCCAGGATATGGGGGAGGTGAACACCCCACTGAGATGAATGGGGCAGCTCACATTCCCTGGTATGGTGTCAAGATAAATCTGTCAGCCAAAAGCACCACACTGAGATGAATGGGGCAGCTCATACCTCTATGATCCTCACCTACTGAAGAGACCCTTTGCCCTCTAGCCCTGTGGGTGGGATGGAGAGGTCAGGAGGGAGACAGAGCTGGTAGCTGAGTGGGAGGTGCAGTTCCCCCTCCACCATGTAACCCTATTTCTGTGTAGTACCACAGAAGAGATTTACTTTAGCCCTCTAATTCCCATTTTTCAAAGGAATAAAGTAGTGTCAATCCTGGTTTTAAGAATCTTAAAGGCTGTTCTACACATGGAGTTGCTCTTGATTAACTCCTGCAAGCATGCTTAGGCTTGTCTACAACAAGATATTAATCTGGATTAAAGCAGGGTGTGAATTTAAAGTAGAACAGCTATTTTGAAAAACTCCATGTGTGGATGCTCTTATTCTGTAATTCACATCTTTAATGCAGACTAATTTTTCTGAGTGCCCCCATGTAAACAAGACTTGCTTGTAGAATAAGAGCATCCAACGCAGGAAGTTATTCTAAACTATTCCGCTTTAAATTCATGCCCTGCTATAAACTGGATTAACATCCCCATGTAGAAACCCCTAAAAATGCCCACTTCTGGAGTTATAGTCAGGAAAACTACACGTGTACATAAACCCTCAGGCTCTGTCTACACTGCAGCCTCCTGCTGACACAGTTTTATGGGTCAGGGTTGTGATGCAGTGTGATCCCTGATTCACAAAGGTGTGCTAGCAAAGCTTAGTGCAGAGACAGCTATACCAGCAATACTCCTCTTCTACTGGTATAGCTCTTTCGTTCGGGGGAGACCTGGTCTACATTTACCATTGATATTGGCAGAGCTGTTTCACCAGGTGTGGTTTTGTTACCCACATACCTATGCTGTTCTACACTTGAGAGCAGATGGATTTATACTGGCATGTGAACACTTTTGTCTCCACTAGGAGGATTTGCCTGTGTAGCTAGACTGGTCCAGCTATGCCAGAAAAGCTTTTCTAGTGTATACAAGGCATCAGTTGGAAGTGCCAATAAAAGCACAATCTTTTCTTGCTGATATAAACTGTGCTCACACTAGGAGGGTTTGCTGGTCTAGCTATTATAGGTACCCTGGCAAAGCATGTACGGTGATAAACAGAAGCCAGGCACTGTTCTTCATGTGGGGTTCATCTGGGTAACTCCGTGTGTAGCCAGGCCTTAAGTCTAGGCGCCTTCTGGGCTCTGGGAGACGTGAAGGAAATTCCAGGGCAGTGAACAGAGAGATGGTGGGGCTTGCTCCCCTCCAGGTCCCTGGGGATATTACGGCTAGGAGTGGGGTGTGGCCAACAGAGCTTCTGTCAGCGAGGGGACAAACCCTGCAACAGTGTTCACCTCCCGCGGGACTCTTTGGGTCTCTGTCCCACCTTGCCCCCTGCATTGGCACTCTCAGAGGCATTATCACAGGGTGGGAACAAAGTTATTTGCCCCTCACCCTGGAAGGTTAAAAGCCTGCTTGCCTTGCTCCATTTCTGCTCTTCATTCAGAGGTCACTGCCTGAAGTCAGCGCTACGCCCCTGGTCCCAGAGCTGCAGCGTCTGGACCAGGACCCGGTCTTCACAAAGGAAACTGAACCCCAGTGGGATTCAAATAGAACAGGCACAACTGAGGCAGGGGCAGGGTTTATTAGACATGCAGGGTCACACAGAAATCAAGAGGAGTCCTGGCAGACAGGCAGACTGAGAAGGGATGGCAGGACAGAGGCAGAGAAAAAAGCAGGTGTGTATGGAGAAACAGAGACAGACAGTCACCAGGTAGAGATATGTAATGGCAGTGAAAGGACAGGCTGAGTAGATTAGGACAGACAGATACTGTAGGAGGAAGGACAGACAGCTGGGTGGGTGACCAGTCAAATTCATTCTCCCCAGAGAGATGCCCAGAAACATTAGCCTCTGTGACCCATGTAGTAGTCACTGCTGCGCTTCCCGGGGGCTCAGCCCAGCCAGCCTATGTGGGGCCACAACTTACACCCAGATGGCCCAGTGCAGCTCCAAGGTGTCTGAGCAATGCAGGGAGAAATGCCCACAAAACCGCTCTGGTCCTTCCATACCAGAGGAGGCCATCAGGGAGCAGTAGCTCACCTAGTCTAACTTTTGTACTCAGCCCAGTGACTGGTGTCTGGCGAAAGCATCCTCCAGCTGGGATTCTCAGCCCTTCCAGCTCGATGCTGAGACTGGAAGCAGCTCAACACATTTTCCTCCAAAAAAGCTTTTTAATACCAAAGCCACTTCCCACAGAAAAAGATTTATTATTTTTTAAACAAAGTCAAAATTTGTATTCTACAAACAGTGGAGGAATTCCTCCTCTCCTCCAGTAGCCCCCCCCCCCTTCTCTGCCCCAGGAAAAAAGGGAGGGGATGTAAAAGTTAGGGACAGGAGGAATTCCCCCGGCTCCTGCTATTCCCCCCAGAAATAGGGAAAAAAAACCAACCAAACAGCAAATCAAAATGTTTGAATGAAATTAAAATTGCTCATTTTTTTTTTAAATTAAAAGAGGGGCTGGACTCCCTCAGGTCAGTCCTGTCCGAGGAGATGCGCTAAGACCTTGTCTTCCCTTAATAGACATGTCAGCCGGAGGTGTGAACAAAACACACAACCTAGCAACACAGCTATGCCAACAAAGCCCCAGCTGTGCGGGCAGAAGAGGGCTTGTCAGCACAACTCATGTTGTTTGGTGAGGTCACATTCCTCCACTGGCAGAAAAACTTCTGGAGATGCAGCGCATGCTGGCATAGCCTGCATAGCGTAGACACAGCTCGAGACAGACCGTGCAAGTCCCTAGGCTTGCAAGCTGGGGCTGTCCCTAACAAAGCCAACATGCTGCTTGAAACTGTCTCCTGCACTTGAGAGATGGGTCTAAAGTTTGTTTTGCAAAAAGCTTCAACAGAAAATGAACAATTTTTGTTTCTTCAACATTAGGTTTTGGACAAAAATGTTTTGCTGAAAAATAGGATTCCAGCTCTATATATACATAGATTCCCCCTTCCCATAAACATTTAACAATTTATAATCTTTTGAAGGGGAAAATATTGTGGGGAAATGTCAACTTTCTCACAAATTTTTATTTTCCTGCTTTTTCTATGGGGGGGAAAAAGGAGTTTAAAGGGTTTTTAAAGTTGGAGAATGTGGGGGGAAGAGCCCCTCTGTTTCTCATGTGTTTACATTTTCCCAGTGAGAAAAGTGAAAAAAATGTTTTAACAAAAAAGTGATCATTGTCGTCCCCCCCCCGGTGAGGTAAAAAAGGAAAGAAAGGGAATTAAAAAAACAACAACAAAAAAACGAGAGAAGGAAAAACCCAGGAGATCCTTTTTTTAAAATTAAGCAAATATTTGTTTACATACACTTTGAAACAAAACTTGTTTCGAATTTCGTAACAAAAAATTTAAAAAGTTTAATATGTTGAAGAAACAAAAAATTGTTCATCCAAGCCAGAACAAACCACATCACTGTCTCCCATTTGGGTTTAGAAGTGGCCTATTTCAGTTTAGTTTACAATTGGGAACCGGTATCGTAGGGTCCAATGGGGTTCAGCGCCAAGTTCAAACCAATCAGCGTGTAACTGGTGCAATGTTCCCATGCAGGTAAAGGCTAAAAGACCTTCCAGACTCTGCAGGTGGGTGAAGGGAGATGAGGTAACCCATCCTAACCTGCCTAGCAGGATGTATGCAGTGCTTAACCACCGGCCATCACAGCCCTCCAGCTGCCTGCATCAGGGCACGAGGGGTTCGGAGGAGGTGAAGGGTTATCTTTAGGGAGCTTTCCCCAGAGCTGAGGGGCAGTAATGGAGGCTAGGCACACGGGTGTCCGTTTCCTCTGGGAGCCACGCTGACCTGAGCTGAGAGACATGGGGAGTTGGGTGTCTTTGCAAACCCCAGGCCTGACTGTTAAACGCTCCCCCAGCAACACCAGTTACTGTAGACTGTCTATCCATCACCAGTGTCTGTACCTCTGTGTTGTCAGCGTGGGGCCCAGATGTTCAGAGCTTCCCAAGGGAACTGGGTGCCCAGTGAATGGGGAACTCAGTGCCTGAAGCCCCCAGAAAGCTTAGAAAAACTCAGCCCTGCCAAGCCAACAAGAGAATAAATCTCCCATCAGTAGTGCAGCCTAGGAGGTTACAGCACGGGGTGCTGGGAGCCAGGACTCCTGGGTTCTTTCTCCAGCTCTGGGAGGTGAGTGGAGTCTAATGGGTTAGGATTGGAGCCAGGACTCCTGGGTTCTCTCCCCAGCTCTGGGAGGGGAAGGACTACGCTATGGTGCCCCACCTCATAAGCAGAGATGCAGCGAGTGTGGGTTACAGACATGCACATGTTTAATAAGACGAGCCACAGAGAGGGAGTACACGATAAAAGCCGATACAGGCTGAGGAGTGGGGGCTGGGCACCTGGCCAGGAACACACAAACAGGGTGGGGGGCCCCCAGTTGGGACTCACAAGCCCCAGGGAAGCGGGGGCCTCACCAGGGCCCGGGCAACAAGAGATGCAGCTGAAGCGAGAAGGCACTGATGGGGGGTGACTCCAGACCAGGCTCTGCCCCCCCCACAACTTACAAAAAGGAATGTTTGGGGGTGTGGAACCATGGGCAGGGTCGTTAACCACCCCCCAGGTGTGCGTCAGGGGACACCTTTTTCCCTCCATGGGGTCGGGACAGGAGTCATGAGCCCCTCCCACCTCCACGGCTCAGCCAGGGAGCCACCTTCCCCACCCGGGACTGGGGCGGGCTGGTCTCAGCCCCAGGGGAGCAGAGGGTGACCCCCCACTCCAGGGGCACTGGCATCAACGCGGGGCTCAACAGCAGCCCGAACTGTCTCCTGAGCCCTGGGGGCTGTGGCGAGAGCCGGTGCCAGGAGCTGCCCCCGATGGCTGCTGGGGCCCGATCTTGATGCCATTCGCCTAGAAGAGAGAGGGGAGGTTACTCAGGTGTGGACAGGGGAGGGCGCTTCCTCCGCGGGCCCTGCAAGAAGACACTGGGTCTGGGAATGGAATCCCATCACCCATAGAAGATCTCACAGAGCTCCTGGTCCCTAAGGGAAAGGACCCAGGCATCCGAGATAGCAGCATGGGGCACTCACTCCCGCAGCATATGCCTGGGAGAGGAAGTGGGAACCCAGACGTCCAGGATGGCAGTGCCAGGGCATCCCCCAGGCAGAAGGCAGACAAGAAGTGGGGAGGGTCTGGCTCACCTCGTTGTTGACGTCAAAAAGCCCCTGCTGGATCTTCCTGTAGATTTCCTTGGCTGTGTCAATGAAGGCCTGAAAACCCAACACATGTGGGGCTGAAAGCGGGCTGGCCTGGGGGCATCTGTCCCCCGCACCCAGGATGTGGCTCCCAGGTGCACCCCCTAGCCCTGCTGTAAGGAGAGGGGGCTCCTGGGTGTAATGGGGTGTGGAAGGGGGCACTATGGGAGGTGACCCCAGGTCCCTTCTAGTCCCCTCTGCCACTGACAGCTGTCTTGGCTGAGCGGAGGGTGCGGGAAGGGGAATGGGGTGGGCAGAATAGGGAGGAATGGGGTGGGAGAGCGGGTGGGGGGATGGGGGGACTGCGGGAGGGAAGGGGCAGTCCCAGGCCGTGATCCCAGCCCCCCTTTCCTCTTGGTCACCTCCTCGACGTTGGTGGACGTCTTGGCCGAGGTCTCCATGAAGACCAGCCCGTGTTCCCGCGCGAAGGCCTCTCCCTCTGCTTTCTGCACGTCCCGCCGGGACTCCAGGTCACTGCGGGGACACCAGGGGTGGGGGGTGAGCATGGATGGGCAGGGGTCCTGCCCCAGTGAGTCCTAGGGCCCCCAAAGGCCATGTTGGGAGCCCTGCCCTCGGCTGTGGAGCCTGTCTTGGCAGAGATAAGCATGCTTCACCCTGGATCCCTGCACCGCCCAGAGAATCCCCTCACGGAAAGCCGGCTTCCCATCCAACCCTGCAGATATCAGCCCCACCCCACCGGGGTTCCTACATCCCCCGGAGATGAGAAACCCCCTGACCGCTCTCCCAGCTCCTTGAGAGCAGATCTCTGCAGGGACCTGCCCTGGACCCCAATCAGTTACCTCTTGTTGCCGATAAGCATGATGACCATGTTGGAGCTGGAATGCTGCCGAGCATCCTCCAGCCACGAGGTCAGGTGGTTAAAGGTCTCCCGCCTGCGGGGCAGAGAAGGGGTTGAGAGGTGCTGCGGGGACAGACGGCCCCCAGGCTCTGAGCGCATGAGGGAGGGGACTGTGGGGTGAGGGAGCCAGGCCCTACCTGGTGATGTCATAGACCAGCAGCGCTCCAGCTGCACCACGGTAGTAGGAGCGGGTGATAGAACGGAAAGACTCCTGCCCAGCCTGGATGGTAGAAAAAGGAGGTGAATGCAGCTGCTCACCTGATTCCACTTCCCTGCTGGGTCCCCCGGCTCCCCCAGCCCACACCTGGCTTCCCCCAGTCACCCTATTCCCCTGCATCACACCCACCTCCTCCCCTGCGCCACAGCTCCAGTACAACCCCCAGCACCCTCCGCGCAACCACACCCCACAGCTCACAGCCCCATTACTCCCACTGCTCCTAGCTACCTACCCCTACACCTCCTCAGCTATGTCTCCCAGCCCCACTGCTCCCCACAACTGTGAATACAACCTCCCCTGCCAGTGTCGGCCCCGTCTCACCGTGTCCCAGATCTGCAGCTTGATCTGTTTGCTGTCAATGTTGATCATCCGAGCCCCGAACTCCACACCTGGCAGAAAGACACAACCTCAGAAACCATTAAAAGGGGGACCAATGGGGCAGGCCCAGTACAGTACACAGCTCCACCGGTGCTCCTCACTCCCACCCCGCAGCCCCCTGCCAG